CATGTACTCTCAAATGGGTTAACCATAACCGGTGTGTCTGTGTGTGGGTTCAGGTTCTTCACGCGAACCATTTGGTTGTGGTCTATAAGTGTCGGCCATTCAGTCGATGGCAGCCTTTTAATCATAACATAAACACAAAAATAAATAAAAATCTATATTTTATATCAAAGAATATTCCGTAAATGTTACCCATTTTTGGCGAATTGAGTCCACATTTGCATGATTTCTGCACTGAATTTCAAGTCCAAAGGTGTGGTTGAGTTGTATTCAAAGAACTGCCCGAAAACAAACTCCACATCAGATCCATGACATATACCCATTGTCTCCTCAACACATCCATATACGGCCACATCCTGAGCCTGGTATGTCAGCTCATAGTAGTATACATTATGTGATGTGTTTTTAGCATTTATAGCAAATTGTTTGGCGAACAGATATGTCGGACACTTCATGATTATATCGCCAAAATAGTTGTAAAATGCATGTTTCAGTGCCTGGGAGTCACTGGTGTTAACATTCCTGAGATAGTAATCGGTTACATTTTGGACAGGTATGCCATGAAACAGATCGTCCGACACTTGGACCAAATCCCTAAACTCCTGTTCAGTGAAATTCCCGTGAAGTTCGGGGTAATTCCAATACGACAACAGTGAGCCCTCGTCCCTGGTCACACCGGCTATGATGTCGATGTCTGTTCACAGTTAACATACATTCAAATTAAAACCTTAAGATTCTACAGTATACATGTCAAATTACGAGCACCGGTACCTTTATTATATTTCCCTTCCCGGAAAGACGTCTGAGCATCGATTGGCAGATACTCTGTTCCCTCTAAAGGCCAGGTAGTGATTGACGTGTAGTTATTGACATCCTCTGCACTCAATTGTCTCAAACACTCCATCCATTGATTTTCACTACAATTAAAATGTTTTGCCATTTCTTTTGTCTGATCCAACGCTTCAGTTGCCGTCAAAACTGGAGAGAGGAACATTACTTTTAATCGCGGCGAAAGGTATTATCGGGAGAACTTATCCGGGGCCCTATTACCCCTGTCATAAACCTGTCTACACCTGGTTGACGGCCGCGAGAGTGGTTTGTGTCACTAGTGATCCTTATCACCGCCAAACAAATGGATATTATCTCTAACCTATTATATGGATATCAAGTTATAAATTATATTCATTTAATAAATATAACAATAAATTTATACCCATTTAAGAGCCAATAACTGGTCATAAAAACCTAGATTTCCAGGCGCCGAGTCATTGCCACCGTATAGAAATCCAAAAGGACCTAGTCTATAATTTGGGGCCACTATTACTACATCATGTGTCGACAATAGACTGCCGTTATATAAGAATATGGATCCCGTGGCTAATCCCCCGCCGTATATCCAAAACATAACAGGTTTTAGTGCCGGTGCTTGAGATGACAGGCTGTTGTCTCTCACATTTGGTGTCCATATGTTTAGTATCAAACAGTCCTCACTAAGAGTTATGGGTACGCCGGGTATAGGGCCGGGCAGTTGCATACATGAGTTGCCCATTTTTGTGCCATCTATAGTGCCCTTAGTTTTGTAAAAATAAAAACATTTAATTACTCGTAAGTACTGTACTAGGTGAAAAAATATTTTTATTTTTAAGAGTTATTACTGAAATTGGTTTCTTGAGAGGTAGTGGTCGAGCGAACCTGAGGTTCCCAACCGGGGGTTCGGCGAATGGTATACTTAAAAACTGGTCAACACTGGTGTTTAACACACGAATAGTCTGTCCCCTCACTAAACCTGATGTAGTGTTCACTTCTACATAGTTCTCATCACAAACACAAACTTCAATACTTAATAATGTAAAATACAATACAAATATTGTTTTAGTTAACATTATGAAAAATAAATTCTTGAACTACAATAAAAAAATTCACTAAAGTTTTAATATCAATTAGAAATCAATTACATTGCTTTTTATAGTTATATATACTGTATAAAATAATAAGATCAATAAAAGGTTAAATTATCAGCAATAACAATGATTATCATGATTACACAATAAGCAAACAATGAAATGCACTATAGATAAGTTATATTAATACTGGAATATAACCCGGATTATGATAAATTAAATGTTTCAAATATTTAATTGGGTAAAGATTAAACCAATATAATAAATTAATTTTAAAAATCTGAATAATAAATATACGTAATTAGTAATCACTTTTACATGCAGTACTAAAAACATAAAATAAATCTAAAATAAATGTTATCAATTATTTATTTGTGTATATCTGTGCACCTGTCACCAATTGATTTCATATAATTCATATAATAATTTATGAATTAACTTAACACAAATATTATTTTTGCCAACATTTTCAATAATAAGATTTATATATTATGTTTGAATTTTTTTTTGAAAGTTATTTATAAATTATTGTAAGTGTTTATACACTAAACACATATTTATCATCAATGTTGCATTCATTAGATATTTATTTACAACCTTATTCTTATTAGCATTTCAATATGTCATTCATACAATTAGTTATTACATGTAATAACTTAGTTATTTAAAAAATAAAAAGTTGTCTCCTATCTAATGCCAATTTTAATTATGTTATATTATAATAATTAAATTTAAATAAATTATATTAATTATATTAATTGAAAATAATTTTAATAATAAGAGGGTTAATCTGAGTGGACATACCCGGGAGGCGCAGTCAAAGCTCATCCCCAGTCCGACCATCACTTGGAGTACTATCGGCGATGGATTGCATTTCATGGCGTAGTGTTGCTGTACTCGCGGTAAGTATTTCCGGAGTCTCTGGTACTTATCTATGATATCCTCGACGTCCACCACATAGAATGCCTCGTCGACCCTACCGGTGCGGTTATGGCCAGCAATTACGTGACGGATCACGTGATCCACTTGGGGGTCAACTTTTATTTTATATATTTTTTGAAAACATTTTGTAAACTTATTTTTAAAAATTAATGATGAGTTAGGAATTAGTTTAACTAATAGTTATGATTTATTTTTTAAAAAAAACTTAAAAATTTATTTTTATGTATCACTGTATTTTGTATTATGTTTCAGTTAAAATTTTAATTTAAAATATTAAATTTATTATTTAGATCTAAAACCATAGCTGTGTAATTAATTAAGTTTTTTAATAATGTATTTATNTTGGTTTCTTGAGAGGTAGTGGTCGAGCGAACCTGAGGTTCCCAACCGGGGGTTCGGCGAATGGTATACTTAAAAACTGGTCAACACTGGTGTTTAACACACGAATAGTCTGTCCCCTCACTAAACCTGATGTAGTGTTCACTTCTACATAGTTCTCATCACAAACACAAACTTCAATACTTAATAATGTAAAATACAATACAAATATTGTTTTAGTTAACATTATGAAAAAAAATCTTTAACTACAAAACAACAACAAAATTCACAAAAGTTTTAAAATCAATTAGAGATCGATTACATTGCTTTTTATACTAATATATCCTGAATAAAATAATAAGTTCAATAAAAGATTAAATTATCAGCAATAAACATGATTATCATGATTACACAATAAGCAAACAATGAATTGCACTAAAAATAAGTTATATTAATACTAGAATAATAACCCGGATTATGACTAATTAAATGCTTCAAATATTGAATTGGGTAAAAAATAAATTGATTTTAAAAATCTGAATAATAAATATAAATAGTAATAACTTTTACATACAGTACTAAAAACATAGTGAGCTTATCTAAATAAAATGTTATAAAACAATATAAATTATTTATTAGTGAATATCTGTGCACCTGTCATCAATTGATTGATCGAGTTAATAATCTTACAGTATTGCCTATTCATAGTGAAAGTTTTCTATTAGAGTCTGGTACAATTTATTAGTCAATAGTAATGACTCATTACTGTAATATTGCTATTTATAAATTCAATGTTGTTTATATTACCTCATTGTAAATAAAATTATGGTTAATATTTTTAAAAATAATTTGTATTATTATATTTTATATGATTTACTGTATACTGTATACTGTATATGTGCTTTATATGAATTATACATAATTTTATTCATAATAGTGGTCCCAAATGCCATCACATGTGGTATCAAACGGGTTATACATGACAGGAGTGGTGGTGTTTGGGTTCAGATTCTTGATTCTTATGGTGTTATTTGCATTGTCTATAAATGTTGGCCAATCACTCGATGGCACTCTATATGCAAAATACAATTATTATTATATAAGACAACTATTATTATATAAGACAATTATTATTCACAAATATTTATAAGAATTTTATTTCAATAATAATGACCCGGTTTTAGCGAATTGAGTCCACATTTGCATGATTTCTAAACTGAATTTCATGTCCAATAATGTATTCGTATTTCGCGAGACAATGGGAGACCCAAAGACAAACTCGACATCAGATCCATGGCATATACCCATTGTCTCCTCCATACAACCGGTATGGGCAGCGTTTTTGCTCTGGTATGTCAGCTCATAGTAGTATACATTATGAGAACAATGGGAGACCCAAAGACAAACTCGACATCAGATCCATGGCATATACCCATTGTCTCCTCCATACAACCGGTATGGGCAGCGTTTTTGCTCTGGTATGTCAGCTCATAGTAGTATACATTATGAGAAGTATTTGTATTATGTTTAGCAAACTGTTTGCTGAAGTGATATGTGGGACACTTCATGAACATATCACCGAAATAGTCATAAAAAGCCCATTTGAGTGCCTGGGAGTCACTAGTGTTGACATTCTTGAGGTAGATTTGGGTCACATTCTGGACATCTATGCCGCGAAAGAATGCATCCGATTGTTGGACCAAATCCGTGAAGTCCTCTAAAGTTATGTTTGTTTGAAGTTTAGGGTAAATATAATATGAAAGCAATGAGCCCTCATTTCTGGTCGCACCGCCTATTATGTCGATATCTATTACATTATTAAACAATATAATTATTTTTCACCACTTACAGTATTAAGTAATAGACCTTGATTATAAAACCCGTCCCTAAAAGCTGTCTGTGCTTTGACGGGTAAAAACTCTGTGCCCTCGATGGGAAAGGCACTAATCTTTGGGTAGTTATTGATATCTTCTGCACTCAATTGTCTCAAACACTGCAACCATTGATCTTCACTACAATCAAAATGTTTTGCCATTTCCTTGGCCTGACTTAAGGCCTCCGTTGCGTTTAAAATGGGTCTCTCCTTATAGTACAATTGGGCCCCACTTTCCATAATAGCCCTCTTGAATAGACCCCGAGATAGCGGCGACAGTATGTGGACAGATGTAGACCAGCTGCCGGCGCTCTCACCAAATATAGTGATCTGATCCTTATCACCACCAAACGCATGGATATTATCTCTTACCTATAATTTCTCAATTTTATTTATAGTGTTAACTAACTTATCAAAGATGTAGACCAGCTGCCGGCGCTCTCACCAAATATAGTGATCTGATCCTTATCACCACCAAACGCATGGATATTATCTCTTACCTATAATTTCTCAATTGTATTCATAGTGTTAACTAACTTATCAATAATTTTTATACCCATTTGAGAGCCAATAGCTGGTCATAAAAGCCCACATTTCCGGGCGTCGAGTCGCTGTCACTATATAAGTAGCCAAACGCACCCAGTCTATAGTTAGTGGCCACTAAAACCACATCATATGTGGACAAAATGCTGCCATTATATGGCGGGATCTGAAATATGGAGCCCACGGCTAGACCCCCGCCATGAATCCAAAACATGACTGGTTTTAGTGGTGACTCTTGCGATGAGTTATTGTTTCCCACATTTGGTGTCCATATGTTTAACACCAAACAGTCCTCACTGATGGTGAGGTTAACGTCATAGTCTGGTACGGGACTCACCACTTGCATGCAGGAGTTCCCGAGTTTGGTTCCATCGATAATACCCTGTTATAAAAACATAAATATCCTAGCTCAACAGTTAAATATTACCTGAATGGGTTGTTTGAGTGGTTCCGGTCGGGCAAACCTAAGCCGTCCCAACGGTGGCTCAGCGTATGGTATATTCAAAAACTGATGAATACTTTGGTTAAACACATGCACTACCCGTCCCATCACTACACCCGATGTGGTGTTCACTTCATTGTAGTCCACATATTCCCCGATATTATCACAAACACAATAACTTATGAATAAACTTAACACAAATATTATTTTTGCCAACATTTTCAATAATAAGATTTATATGTTATGTTTGATTTTTTTTGAAAGTTATTTATAAATTATTGTAAGTGTTTATACACTAAACACATATTTATCATCAATGTTGCATTCAGTAGATATTTATATAAAATTAAGATATCCTAAAAATATTTAAACTTAAATCAATAAAATCTTGATTTAAAGCATTAATCAATTTTGACAAACTTATTTTATAATGAAAATTAGCATTAAAATGATCAAGTCATTTGATATAATAGCAAAATAAAACTTTTAAATTCTTAACATAAGTATACAATTAATTCAATCCTTACAGTACGGTATAAATTGACAGATTAATAACATGAGATTCAAAATCAACTTGCCTTGAATATCTTGAAAGCCTTGAAAACATTTCCAATGTTTCATTCATTAAAGTTTTTATAATAACTATTTTATAGTAAGTGATAGATAAACAGCTCAACAAATAATTACTATTTACTTATAATATTATGTAGGTTTACATAATCACATACTGTAAAATACCAATAATATATTGAACACCATATTCCATAACTTCTCCCTACAGTTAATATTAGTACCGGTGCCGATCGCACAACAACCAAGATACAATTATAGATATCTAAGAAATTTCTAATTTTTTTACAATTTCACATAAAATTCTTGCATTTTAATTATTTATGTACAAATGTAAATGTCAAAATTTCTATAAAAATTATAATTAAAGCACTTATTAATCCAATACAATAAACATTGTATGAGTTTCTCATTTGATTTAAATTGAGTGCACTTTCAATATGTTTATCGTTATTCTTATTTATATTATTAATGTTTATACTTATTTTAAATATTGTGTACTTTTTAACGTATTTCATATAAAATTCTTGTTTCCAATGATCTATAAGTCCGGCACTTATTACACCTAAAATACTAAAAACATATTTACAATATTATGCCTAATTAAATATTCTGATTGAATATCTTGAAAGCCTTGAAAACATTTCCAATGTTTCATTCATTAAAGTTTTTATAATAACTATTTTATAGTAAGTGATAGATAAACAGCTCAACAAATAATTACTATTTACTTATAATATTATGTAGGTTTACATAATCACATACTGTAAAATACCAATAATATATTGAACACCATATCCCTACAGTTAATATTAGTACCGGTGCCGATCGCACAACAACCAAGATACAATTATAGATATCTAAGAAATTTCTAATTTTTTTACTATTTCACATCAAATTCTTACATTTTAATTATTTATGTACAAATGTAAATGTCAAAATTTCTATAAAAATTATAATTAAAGCACTTATTAATCCAATACAACAAACATTGAATGAGTTTCTCATTTGATTTAAATTGAGTGCACTTTCAATATGTTTATCGTTATTCTTATTTATATTATTAATGTTTATACTTATTTGAAATATTGTGTACTTTTTAACGTATTTCATATAAAATTCTTGTTTCCAATGATCTATAAGTCCGGCACTTATTACACCTAAAATACTAAAAACATATTTACAATATTATGCCTAATTAAATATTCTGGACAACAAACTTACATTTGATTAAAATTGGCAAAATATTCATTATTTCTGTTGAACGCGATAGCAATAAAATCACTATATAAATTTGAATCCTTAGAAATTGGTGGCAAATAATAGTTGGCATTTGTCTTATGAATGTAATATTCAATCATGGTCCTATCGGATATTAAAACAAATTGATTGGGAAATTGGTTCAACATGTCAAACCCCTGTGCCGGGTGTTTAATCCTAAACACAGAATTTTTAGTATCCTTATTATGAGAATCCTATGAATAAAATAATGTATTATTCTGTATATAATTAAATTAAAATTACCTGTACCTTAATTTGCAAATATTTTAACATTGATTCCTCGGTGTTATCACTAATAATATAATTAATTTGTCCCATATTTTTAGCTAATATTAAATTTTGGATCGTTTCTATACACTGGTGTAGGGGCAATGCTAACTGGCCGTACAGTTCACCTCCATAACAGAATCGTAATATAATTGATCCCAAAACCCAACCAATAGTCAGTACTCTTAATGCAATTTGCGGTGATATCTCATTAACTGATTGCGAGAGTAGTATTGCTATAAAATTGCAATTTACATTCAGTCGATTGTATGTTTTATAATTAATGACCATGCTTAATATGTTCAACACAACAAGTGATATTAGTAGTAATAACCAGATATTCCAATCAAACGGTGCAAATAGCGATGTGTTGTAGCTTTGCTTCGGAAATACCGGTGCTGTGAATGATATGGAGTTTATGTAATAAGGATCGGTAAATGTAACGGCTTTTGTGCGCTCATCCGATATGGTTAGGCATCCCATCGCAAAGTGCGCTCTCTTTATGATTCAAAATTATATTTAAAGTTTTTATTGAAAGTATAATAAAAATTTTAGTGTTAATCACTAAACATACCTTTTGTTGAACGGCACCTATCATACCATCCCATGTGTTATTTACCAATTTTATACCCCACTTATAATTACAATCCAACAAACTATAAGTAAAATTAAAAACTTTACTCAATGTTTGCAATAACTTAGCCTCAAAGCCAATAATTTTGGGTTTATTTTTAATTTTCGTTGAACCTGGATAATAAATGTATGGTAGAATCTACGACATAAAATATTATGTTAAAATTCATTAAAATATTTTATTTATTACAAATAAATTACCTACCTTATTGGATGCAACTAGTAAATTTTTACCCTTAAAGTCAATCATTATTACAGTTATACTAAAAATTAATATATTTTATGTTATTTTTATTGATCATAAACAGTATTTAATAATTTTTCGATCTAATTAGTTATGGGCAACTACATTATATGCTCGGTTATTTTTATAGTAAACATCTAATGAATAGAATGCTATTCTGTTATTAATAATTGATTATTATTTATGAATACAACAATTACTATATTATTATATTCTGTGTTAAAGTTTAATTGAAAGTTATTTTTTTATTATAAATAATTGTTCATTTAATTGATTATATTATAATATATGTAACATTAGAATAACATAATTTTTATGTTTAACATTAAAATACATTTATTGTCAGAATATCTAAAACATTATTCAAAATAAAATAGGTGCACTGCAAATTATTAATTTAATTTTTAATAATACTGCAATTATTTCAACATTTTATATTTAATTATAATAAAGTATTAAATGATTTTTATTTACGTTTACGTATGATTACAGTATTAATTTGCAGTAATTTGAAAAAATATTAAAGCCCTGAGAAAATACTTTTTTTTAATTAAGATAATTTTTAACAAAACCTCATTTTTAGTATAATTATAACTAGCTTGGTTATTTAATAAAACTCAGACATATAATCTTATAAAACAAAAAGGCAGACAACTATTATCTAGGTTAAAGTAGACATAAACAGTAGCGCAGATTCTGTACATTTAACAGTAAAGTGTGCTAGCTATTTAAAAATTCTTATAAGAACTTTAACAAAAATGTACTTTACCCAGTTACATACAAATTATTATAGATAACATTTTTTAGTGAGTTAACGTAAATTGTTTCGTTAAATATGTAATAAATTAAAAAATTATTGAAAAATTAACTTGTTTCAAAATAGTTCACTATAAAATTGGTTGATTATAAGCGGACAACTAGTGTAAGTGGGCTACACTGTTGCAATAACACTGCCAATCTTATCACAAATATTTAGGTCTATTTGACACTATATAACGTATAAAACTATACATAGAGTTCCTTATAAGAAGGACCTAAATGTCTTACAAAACTCCAATACTTTTCATTGGCTATTAATGACGTGAGTGTTTGGGTATGAATACCGTTTGCCTAACAGTGGGAACATTTGACAAACTCCCAACACACACACACACACATTTACTCGTTTCCATAGTAACCCATAATAGCTCTACATGAATGCAATGGGAGTATTATTGGGCATAATAGCCACCCATACTATACCATAGAAACAGCATTACAGAGAGTGCGGCAATGGCGGCCACACATGTACTCGCATTGAATGGTGTGATTGCATGCGGTGTGTGTTGTGTTGAACACACACACACTCTCTCCCATAGACCCACAGCCTGGCAGTGAATGCAGTGTTAGTATCGCATTGTATGCCGAGTAGTGTTGTGTTGTCTCTCTATCGCAGTCTAACACTAACCATACGTTTGTGTCCACACATCCACTTCCCAGACACCACTTCCCGCACGATTATCCTCATCAGTGGTGTTGTTGTGCTGTGAATGTGTGGTTAATGTGACAGCAAAAGTGGCCGCAATCCAGGATATCAATGACTGGCCCACTCTGGGGGAGGTATGTATGCCATGAGCGCCGCACAGCACTGGTAGCTCACACTCACTCTCTCTCCCTTACCACTCACTCAACGTGTTTTTTAAATCCACTTATGGGTGCCATTGATTGCCGGGGGTGTTAGGGGGCACTGGGGTGTAGTAGTATACGGGTAGCTATGAATGCAATAGTGGTCAGGCATTTAAATCCAGTCCCAACTGCATATACCTCCGAGTCTCGAGAGTCACGTGTCTGTCGCACAATCACTGGTGTTGTTGTCTTACCATTGATTGCATGCATTGATTGTGTCATTAATACACCATTTGTTTGTCTGTTGCGATCGTAGGCCACACCACAGCACCGGAGCCAATGCGATGACGAGAGCGCCGGCACCCGCATCACCACCAATGGTGAGCACAGCCCCCCGGGTGTCGCCCCCAACGCCTGGGCCATCGTAGACAACAGCCACCACCGGTCCGTGCCTTCAGCCGCCAGTTCCTCATCAGCGCCGCCGCTGCCGTCGAAGTCATCTCAAGACACCACTCGTGCGGTGCATAAGGAGGTGTCGGTGCCATCGCCCACACCATTGCGTGCGGCGGACAACACCCCCAACAGCGCCAACACTTCATCGCTCGAGGACGAGGTGGAGGCCAATGAGAACAGAGCTGACGGCAAACACACGCCGACCCCTCCCAAGTCGGGCGCCGGTAGCGGTGGTAGACCTGAGGCAGACTCCCGGAG